ATTAGGCAACCCAATAGAATGCGGGTCTCATCCCAAAAGGAGATTGATCAGCGGCAAAGACTTCCTCCTGTTACTTTTCACTACTGTCACCCGTCCATGTCATAGAAATGAATGATGACATTAAGCAAAGAATTAGTCATACTATCGACAACCTAGGGAATGGATCTACCTGCTTGTAAAACTAATTCATGATCTGGAACCCGTTTTTGAGCGAAATACTCGCAGCGTTCGAAATGGGGAGGGAGCTTACACTGTAGAAACCAGAGTTATAACAGTCACTGCTGACTGAGGGAAAATTTTGCAAAGGATGCCCCCCGCTCGAAAATCCCACCTCAGGTACGTCTCACGTCCCACCGTCTGCAGCCTTCCAAAGTCTTCTAGCTAAGCACAACTTTTCACGAGTTTTTTTCCAAAAAATTCTCCAGTTTTTTTTTCCAAAAAACTGTCGTCGACCGCGGGGGAGAGGGTGGTGGGTACACGTGGCAATAAACACAAGGCCTGGTAATTAAGTATCGCTCAGAAAGTCTTCGAAGAATGGAATTCATACTTGTTCCTCCATGGAAGATAGAGCGTTTGTATGGTTATGCCAATAAGCTCTCAAGATAGTGAAGACAATAAGGGAGAGCTCTACTTTATATAACTTGTGGCTGTCAAACTAAAGGATCCGCAGGCCTTTCGCCCCGACCAGTATCTCTTACCTTTGTGTGATGAAAAGTGATTTAGAATACCTACACTCCTTGTGAAACAGAGACAAGACAGTGGAGACAGAGGGGCAATTATAAGTAAAGGGCAAAAGCTAGCGGAAGACTGAGGAAGATCAAGGGTAGACCACGCCTAATAATATTCTCTATTGTACAACATTAAGCTCGCACCTCCAAGCCGCTTTGGTGCATTTTTTGCAATTTTCAGTAATGCGATCGCGACCAGTCCGAGCTATAATAGAGATCCTTCCCCATATGTATGTCAGGGTGCTCTCCGTCACGCTCCATCGTTGCCGTCGCTTGAAACAATCAAGTGACCCAGCTGACTTGACAGTTCAGCAGTTCCGAGTGACTAGGGTTTGCTGACCTATGGACACCTAAAGTGCTCCTGTATCGTTGACAGATAGCGAGAGTGTTATCGGCTTAGTGATGTCACCCGCTTTGGTGCCTTAGATGACGGGGATTCCTGCTGGAATAGGAGTGGGCGGTGTGAGTATAACGATGAACAGTGGACAGTTGTCCCATTGTGTTTGCTGCGGTCCCCCTATAGAAAGACTAATGAGAGATATCCATATGAACTCAGAACTTGGAAAGCTTCTTTCATTGTAACGATGTGCAGGAGAGAGAGAGGCGACGTCGGAGTGAAGGAGTTTGCTCCGTTTCCGACGTAGAATTCAGAGAGTCTCGCGCGTTACGCGTGTCGTACCCACTTACTTGAAGACACATTCTGTGACTCTGTGGCAAATGGGACCACTTCGTCGTCCGTCTTCGTGCAAGCAGATGTGTAGTTCTCCACTCAATAGTGCGGGCAAGAAAAAACAGGATCTCAAGACCTTAAGACACATTCCACGAACACAGTTGAAGTTAAGTTAAGGTTTTGAGGTGAAATTATGAATACAGCAAGCTAGACGGCACACTAGTGAAGAAACGGATGGACAAAACACTATCGAAGCGCCACCGTGTCCTTACCATACGTAGAATCACGACCTGGTGAACGCGTAGGTGACAGAGGGATCACCCCCTTGCTGCCTCGGTTTACTCGAAACTAGCGTCAGATAAGCAATTGGAATTACTTCAAATGGGCTATCAAGCCGATCCTGCAGGAGTTCTTTCTTTCTCCACTGATTGGGAGAGCACCGCTTTCCTGCCTAACGGCTATGCCGTCATACCAGCATCAATGTCAACAATTTATTGGGAATTTCAATAATCTTTTGGAGACAACTAAAAAGCAGGGTACTATGTAATGTTTGACAAGCTAGGAGTTTCTTTTTTCTAATCAATATCTTCTCTAGGAAACGCTCATCATTGAGCCAACGTAAACGGCGATTGCTATGAAACGACCATCGGAGTAGATAACGCTGCCGTTATCTGGCCCCATTTCAGAATGTTCCGTGGTGAATCAAAGGTTACTAGAGCTCGATTACGTAGCGCAAGTGAGCAGGCTGAAATCGCTGCATGCTAATTTGAGATTTCCTAGAATTTTATCGGAGCCGGCCACGTTAATATTTTTCAAGTGCGACCCCATACACCAAACATCCATCGGGCGGGGAAGGAAATGTAGACGAGCAGACACCTTGGGAAGGAGGTGCTGTTGAATGAGCAGAAATCGATCAAATGTAGACATCAGGCAACGGAGGGGGGGCTCATAAAGCGCGTCTTGAATGACAGACCAGGATTGCAAAAACTACAAAATGTTGGTTAGCAAATTACGACACCTGCTCCCCACAAGTTGTAGGCCCTCTTCTATCCCCCCCTCTCTTCCGACTCCCACGGCAGGTACTGCAGGGATGAAAAATACGTCTCCCAAGGTATTGCGTTATGTACTTCTAGTACGGCTTACTCTCAAAGAGCAGATAAACAGTATGATGCTATAAATTCTTGCTCACTGATGCTATGTAATATTGGAAATATTGGAAGTGCCTTATGTACAATCAGTGAAACCGTAGCAAACCGGCAAGTCACTGAGGCAGGAAGTCACTGAGAACGGTGAGGCACTTCAAGTCAATGAGCTTTTACAAAACTGTTTCAAGCAGTTGTGGGGCCTCATGCATGATAAAAGGAAACGAGGTCTATTCTCCCGATCGATCAGAAGCCGGGTCCAGGAACTTTGGGAGAATCGCGCTGGGGGTCATGCTTGATCTGGG